CCCCTGCTGGCCTGGTCACCCCTTAATGGCCCTCCCCTGCTAGCCCTGATCAGCCACAAACTGCTTTCCCCTGCCGGTTCATCTTGTGGTGGTTCATCTTGTGTCCACATGGGGAATGGCCCATCTTTGGACCACCATGGGGGCGGCCATCTTGTGTTGGTGTGGATGGTCAATTTGCATCTTACCTCTTTATTAGATAGGATGTTATGAAAGTTCTAAAAAAGAGAAGCCCATAGAGGCCTGCAGTCCCTTTTATCCGCTCACTTCATTTTTCCTGCCAAACCCTCTTCCAAACACCAATTCCTCAGCAGATAGCAAGCACAGCTTGTCTGCATTCCACTCTCCCCTCCCTCCCTTTTCAGCTCACTGCAGTCTGACCCCAGTCCTCCATTTTCTGAAACCACTCTGCAATGTCTTTCTTCCTAATTGCCAAACCCCATTGACATTTCCTGACTCCTATCACTTGAATTCTCCACAGCAATTTTACTCTATTGACCATGACTTCTGCCTTGAAACTCTTGCTTTGGCTTCCAAAACCTTTTTTGGTTCTCCTCCAAAAAGAAGAGTGGATCTTTGTTATCTCCTTTGCTAGCATCCTTTTCCTTTAAACCTTAGCACTCCCTAAGCAGAGTCCCCTCTTCCTGGCACTCTTTTCCTAGTGTTTTCTTCAGTGCAAAGACTTGAACACTCCCTGGCATGGTCCCTCCTGAGTCCTGCTCTGGAGCCCAGGCCTGACCCTGACTCCAGGAGGTATTGCCTGTAGTCACCTGGGCACTTCCTTTTGCAACTGAAATGCAACACACATTTAGTAAGTCTATTCTTATCTTTCAGCAGTTCTTGCTCTTGTCTAACTGGCTATGAGCTCCTTGACGATATTGATCCTTTCTATTTTCTCTTTCAGTGATCTGAATACAGGACAGTGCCTAGCACTCAGTAACTGGTGCTTGATAACTGCTTTTTGGATTAAGGAATGAATGTACTTGTCCTTTTTTCTCCTAGCATTGGCAGTGGGATTTACCTGCTCAGG